TTGAACTTTTACTAACCTGTAAATTACACTGAAGAGAATGTTAAATGAATTATAATAATTGCTTAAGATACTGATTTGAGGGCAGGGGATTTAGCTGCCTCACAAGCGCAAAGTCCTGAGTTGGATCCCTGGCCCCTGCAAAAAAAAGACACATTTGAAATTTCTAATTGGCAAATGATTTTTTATCTTAATTTCCTATTCTGACCTTTTTTTTGGATGGTTGTACTAGGGATTGAACCCAGAGGTTTTTTCACTGAATTACATCCCCAAACCTTTTTTATTTTTGGGCTGGAAGTTGGAATCCTCTTGTCTCAGACTCCCAGAGTGCTGGCATCACAGGTATGCACAACTATGCCTGGTTCCCATTCTGACTTTTAATTACTACTTTCCTGTTGATATGGTAATCTCACAGGATTTATCCAACTAGTTACAGGTAAGTACAAGTTTTTTTTTTTTCATTTTAAGGGTACTGCTTTGTGTTTCCAAATTACATATTAGAATTAGTTATCTAATTAATATGTGATTGATTAATATGTGATTTATAAATTATACATATTAGAATTATTAGTTATAGGTTGTCAGTTAAATTTATAGAAAATTTTTGGGAAAGGGCATGAGGACCACTGCTGCTAAGGATCAGACAGTATACTAGGTGGTTAGAAAATTAACAAGAGGATAGTGTTGAGGAATATGTAGCTGGATTTTTCTTGACCTATATTGATATAAGTTCTTAACTGCAGTTCTTATGAAATCATATTGGGTCTGGGGCTGGGGATTTAGCTCAGTGGTTCTGCCACCTGCCTTGCAAGCACAAGGACCCCAGTTCAATCCCTGGTATAAACAAAACAAAACAAAACAAAAAAAACCAGATTGGGTCAATGATTTGCTTTCACAATCCTGTATTATCTTTTTATGTGCTGTTTATCACTTCTTAAATTTTAGTGAGTTCAGCTGTAGCCAATTTTTATTAAACTATATGAGATGATTTTGTATTAAGATGCTATTTGTGGTCTTAAGTATACCTTATGATTAATTTAATTAAAACCTCATTTGAAAGTTAAGTATAATTTAGGTAGAAAGCTTATCCATTATCATCTTGACTTTTAAAAGTCATCTTTGTTTTCTGAGTTTTCTTAAGCCAGGTATTTTGTTGAATTTTCAAGGCTCAGATAATTGTTATTTTTTTAGCTCACTAGTTTTTGTGTAGTGAAAATAGGGTCTTTACATTTGATCAGATGTGTAATGTTACTATACTTTTGCTCTGTCTAGAATTTATTTTGGTATGGAGTGTGAGATGAATGTCTGATTTTATTTTTTTTCAAGGTGGTACCCAGTTCCATTACTTGAGAGTTTTTTTTTGTTTTGTTTTTTTGTTTTTGAGGCACCATCTCCATAGGTAGTGCAGGCTGGCCTTGAATTCCTCATGTAGCCTGTGGTGGCTTGGAACTCAGTATCCTCCTGTCTGTGCCATCATATCTGGTTCCTTTATAGATTATTTATTTATTTGTTACTGGGGCTTGAACTCAGGTCCTTGGGCTTGCGAGGCAGGTGGCAATACCATTGTGCTAAATTCCTGGCCCTCCTTTATAGATTTTAAACAGCAGTTGTGTATGTCCGACTTTCATATTTGGGATGATTTAGGGATTTCTGCTGTTCCACTAATCATTGTTTATGCACAAGTATAGTACCACTAACTTACTTTTGTTCTTTCGTTCTGTACCAGGGCTTGAATTTGGGTTCTTGCGCTTGCAAGGCACTGAGCCAAATCCCTAGCCCTGGTACAACATTCATTCATTCATTCATTCATTCATTCATTTATTTATGGTACCAGGGATTGAACATGGGACCTTGCAGTTGCAAGGCAGGCAGAGGAACCACTGAACTAAATTCCCAGCCCTCCTGGTACAACTTTTAGATGCTGTATCTTATTTATTTATGTTACTGGGGATTGAACCTAGAACCTTCACACTGAGGTATTTCTCTAAAGTTGCCAGGTTGCCCAGGCTGGGCTTGTACTTATGATCTTTTTGCTTCAGCTTTCCAGAGTTTACAGAAATTTGCCACCATGCCTGTCTTGAACTTTATCAGTAGATGTTTTTTGTGATTTTTAATTATTTTCTGCCTGTATCTCTCTCTCTCTCTCTCTTTTCCTTTTTCCTTTTCTTTTTTTCAAAACAGTGATTTTCTGTGTGCTTCAGGCTGACTTTGAATGCATTGTGTAGCCCAGGCTGTCCTCAAATTTGTCCTCCTGCCTCAGCTTTCTGAGTGCTGGGACTATAAGTGTGCACCACCGCATCCCGCCCTACTACATATTTCTATTCTTGTATTTTACTTATTTTTATTTAGAGTCTCTGGGATGTGTGCTGTGAATTTTCCTCTAAAACTGTTTTGGCTGTGTGTTGTAGCTTCTCAAGTGGAATGTTTAAATTGTCATCATCTTTTGTTTTTTTTTGTTTTTTTGTACCAGGGATCAAGCTCAGTACCTTGTGCTTGCCAGGCTGGTACGACCCCACTGAACTGCATCCCTGGCCCTTGTTGTCATTATCTTTCACAGTTTCCTTTTGGCTTCTTTGATCCGTGAATTCTTTAAGAGACAGTTTAACAATTCAGGTACATGCAGGCTGGGGATGTAGCTCAGCAGTAGAGTACTTGCCTAGTATATGTGATTCCTGGGTTGGATCCCCCGCACCACAACAAAGAAGTTAATTATTGGTACCATTTGTATTTTGATTATTTAGTTTTGTTTTTAAGACTGTGCTACTTGTGATTTTGGAAATTTATTGTGATTTTCTTTATGGAATGTTTATAAACAAGTTTTGTGTTCTGTGGGTATTTCAAAAGATGTATCGTGCTTTCAAGGAATGGGATCGAACTCAGACCTCACGCTTGCCAGGTAGGCACTGTGCCACTGAGCTAAATCCACAGTCCTCAAGGAACTTCTGACATGATATAAATGATACCTACCTTATTAGTTTGTATTTCTACGTACTTCTTGTTCTTACAGTTTTTATTTTGTGAGTGGTGATATTATATATTTGGGCAGTTCATACCTGTTAGTTCTTCATCATACATAATACCTTATATGTTTTGTTTTTGTTTTTTGGCTGGGGTACTGGGGATTGAACTCAGGACCTTGTACTTGCAAGGCAGGTGGAGGCACCACTGAACTAAATACCCACCCCTTCTTGTGTTATTAATAAAGTAAAATACCTATTAAACTTCCTTGAAGTCAGTAACCTAGACGTGTTGGGGTTTTTGATTTGTTTTTTTCCAGAACTGGGGAACTTCAGGGCCTTTGCACTTAAGAGTAAGAATTCTGAACTGGTCTTTGTTTCTCTTTTTCTCCTGTAAAAGATGTATTGCCATTAATGTTCTGGAAAATACTGTTTCTCACTTATGCCATTGTTTTTGCCACTTTCTAAGGCAGTTCTAGAAGTTCTCTTTCATGTCTTATAAGGTGATCAAAAATTGGGTGAATGCTGCGGCTGTATGCCGTCCAACCAAAAAACAGACCTAAAAAAACTATATGTCCTCATCCATCTTGCTCACTAGGTCTGTTACCCTGTAACTTCCGGTCCATCCTCAAAGTCAAAATAACTAAAAAAGATAAACGTTTTGAGTCAATGGAGGCAGCCATGACAGCACAACCAAAAACAGAAAGAACCTACAGAACTGCTTCAGAAAGTGACAAGAATGATGAGATAGGTGTGTTCAAAGCAGGGGTGCATAGTTTGAGGGGGATTAATGGTATTGTAGATTTTGCTGTAATACACTTTTTTTTTTTTTTTTTTGAGACAGGGCCTTGCTTTGTGGTTCAGGCTGGTCCTGAACTCACTATGTAGCCCAGGCTAGCCTTGAACTCACTGTGATTCTCCTGCCTCTACCTCCCTAATGCTGGGTTTACAGGCATGTGCTACCACACCCGGCTGCACTATACATTTTTACAAATGTTAACATCTTCTGTGTGGGTTTTTTTTTTTCGGTTTTTTGAGACAGGGTCTCACTATGTATTTGAGACTGATCTGGAACTTATTATGTAGCCCAGGCTGGTCTTAAACTCACAGTGATCCTCCTGCCTTAGCCTCCCGAGTGCTAGGATTATAGGTATGCAGCACCACACCTGGTTTTTCTTTAACTTTTTTGAATTTTATCCAAAAGTAAAATGGTTCAAAAGTTTATATATTGTTCATTCCCTGTTTCAGGAATTTCAAGGCTGAGGCAGGAGGATCGCTGTGAGTTCAGGGCCAGCCTGGGCTACATAGTGAGATCAAGGCCAGCCTACACTATATATCGAGACCTTGTCTCAAAAAAAAAACAGGGCCAGGGATTTAGCTCAGTGGCACCACATCTGCTTTGCAACCAGAGAGTCCTGAGTTCAGACCCCGGTACTAGGAAAAAAACCAAAACAATAACAACAACAACGAAAATAAATTTTTTTTTGTTTTGTTTTGTTTTGTTTTTTGAGACAGGGTCTCACTATGTAGTTGAGACTGACCTGGAACTCACTATGTAGCCCAGGCTGGTCTTGAACTGAGAGTGATCCTCCTGCCTCAGCCTCCCGGAGTGCTGGGATTACAGGAGTGCGCCACCATGCCTGGCGAAATTTCAGTTTTTTAATAGTTAATGGCCAGTTAGAGATCTATTTGTATTTGATTAACTAATAAAATGAAATCTTTTTCTTACTCCTGGGTGCATTTGTTATTTTTACCAGGAAGATATATATATATTTAGTAATTTCTCCCTTTTGGTAGAGAGCATGTAAATTGGTCAGTGGCTAGTATGCTATTCCTCTAATTTCCTTCAGCATATGTAGATTGAAGAAATATATTTAAGTTTTCTTTAAAAAACTTATTTCTCCTTCATTATTATGTCTTCTTTTTGGGGGGAATTGGGAGTGAGAAGTGAGGACTGTATCAGAATGAAACCTTGGACTCTTTCCTTATTTTGTTTATATTCTGTCAAGGCATCTTGTGCCTAAGATATATTTCTTTGTTTTTCAGATTCTAAATGGCTTCTAAAAAGTTGGGTGCAGATTTTCATGGTAAGTGGACTGTTAAATATCATTGTTTAATATAATTTGATCAGAGAACTGGAAATCACATAGCATAATTTTAAGTACCCCTTTTTTGTGTCTTTAAGTGAACAACTTGAGAAAAATAAAATTGTATTATATGTAGCATATACATACATCCCAGGGTCTTCAGATAATTAATTTTAAAAGTATTTCTTTAGAGTGTTAGTATACTTTAGAGCCTCTCTTGTCATGATAATTGAAGTTTCTAGAGATAGATAAGGGGCCTGCTTATTTTTGTTGTTCTTCAGTGCTATTTTCAAGTAGTTAGCATTTCTGTTCTTATTCCTGCTCTTCTCTGTCTGTGTATAAGAAAATTCTAGCCAGGCGTGGTGGCGCATGCCTGTAATCCCAGCAATTGGGAGGCTGAGGCAGGAGGATTGCTGAGAGTTCAAGACCAGCCTGGGCTACATAGTGAGCTCCAGGTCAGTCTGAACTACATACACATAGTGAGAGCCCTTTCTCAAAAAAAAAAAAAAAAATTCTCACCCTTAGTGGTTTATGTTTTGGTTTACTCTTCCCTTATCTCCCATAATAAGAAGTAATTTCTTATGAGATAAATATTACAGAGGTATCAGTAGTAGAAGTTATTTTATACCTGAAACTAATATTTCCTCTATCATTATTCCTTAAAATAAGACCTGCCAAGTGGAATAAAATAGTACAAGTTTGTTATCTGCATTTGGGGAGAATTGAGGTACCTAAAAAGTTAAAATTAGACCATCTTTTCTTTCCTTTTTTGGTATTGGGATTGAGCTCGGGTCCTTGTGCTTGCAAGTCAGGTGGCGGAACCACTGATCTAAATCCCTGGCCCTTAGACCATCTTTTCATATAGCAAAAGATAAGAATTATGCACCAGAAATATCCAAACAATGCAAATTGTTTTAAACTTGATCTTTCCTTTTAAAAATTGCGCTGCATCACTGTAAGAATGACTTATTAGACTGGCAGCGTGTGTTGGTGTGCTTTTCTGAGCTTCAAATAAAAGGCTGCATGATAGTGTCCTTCAACTGAGTCAGAGTGTTGCAGCAGTCACTGTGGTTTTAACTTGCTTATGTATTTTATACAACAGCTTTGACATTCTGAATTGCTGTAATACATATAGTAACATATATAACTCGCATATGTTTTGTTAAATTGTTTTGGAGTTAAGTCACTTAAACTCTGGAATTAGCATTGTAGCGGGTCAGGCATCCTATTTTCCCTATCTCCTGTTAAGAATCATTAGTGGCTCTTTTAATATTCAAATAGTGGTAGAGGGGTAAATCTGATTTTTCAAGGGGAGAAGAGAGCAGGGTCAGAAGTAGACAAAAGACCTAGGGAGAGAATGATTAGGAATAAAAATTCTCGATTTACAATCTTACTTCAAAAGATAACCTCTCTATGGGAACTCATTTTTTATTCCTTTTCTCTTTTCTTGTGGTACTGGGGGTTTTAACCTAGGGCCTTCCCACTGAGCTACATCCCCAGCCCATTTTGTATTTGGAGATAGGGCCTTGCTAAATCGCTTATTTGCCTGGGCTAGTCTCAGGCTTTGCCGTCTTCCTGCCTCAGCCTCCCAGAGTACTGGGATTATAGGTCTGTGCCACCACTCCCAGCTGGAAACTTCTTCTTGATAGGAGTAAAAATACATTAAACCTCCAGATTATGTGTTCTAGTTAAGCAATTCTGAACCAAAATATCATAGTTTAAATGGAGTTTTCTAAGTAGAATTTGGGAGAAAGGTTTTATCTTTTTCTTCTAGGTTGCTCTGCTTTAATAAGGGGTTCATATGCTGAGCTCGTATTTTTATTTTTTTGTTTTGTGAGCTCTTATTTTAATTTCAGTGACTGTAGTTAGGTTTTGTTTTGTTTGTTTATTTGTTTGTTTGTTTTGGTTTTTTGAGACTGGGTCTCACTGTGTAGTTGAGACTGACCTGGAACTCACTATGTTGTAGCTCAGGCTGGTCTCGAACTCACAGAGATCCTCCTGCCTCAGCCTCCCAAGTGCTGGGATTACAGGTATGTGCCACCACGCCTGGCTGTAGTTGGGCTTTTAAATAATTTATTTTGAAGTACTGGATAGTTGAAGGAATAGAAATTAAAGGAAATAAGTTGGGAAATATTTTATAGGCAGTCTTATAGGCCCTTGAGTTCAGGAACTCAAGTTCCTGATTTTACAAGGCTGAAATTAGACAAACAGTAAACTAAGGCAATAAACTTCTATTTTTCAGGACACTATTTACCCTTTCCTCAAGGCTTTTTTCTGTGACCTCTTCATTTTTATCCTTCTGTTAAAAGACTTGTGTTCTTGGTTTTGTTGTGTAGAAAACATAGGACAGAATGACTACTTGTTATGGTGGAATATACCATGTGATCTTTCAGTTTTAAGTGGCTAGCATCCTAGAGTTTTTGTATGTTTTGGTTAAGGAAATCTGATGACATAGTCTAGCTAATGAACTTGCAAATTAGTTTCCCTAGTCAGTTATTACCCGGCTGGCCTAATGGACATTTAATGGGTGGGGATGTAATTTTCTACCACACTTAGGGAGGGTGTCAGCAGGGATACTGCCATTGTGACTGGATTAAAATGGCTTTTCCTCTGTTTAAATATTTGGAGTAAGTCTTGTACTGTGCTCTCTTATGACTAGCATTTGACCTCCAAGTTGCTTCTTTCAACTGAACACCTTCTGATGTTATTAATAACTGCTTATCCCTAAATAATAGAATAAAGGGTATAAATAGTTATTTTTTCAAAGACTTATAGGAATATTGTGCATATATTATATAAACTATAAAAACCCTTGGATTAGACTAGGATTTTCTTGGAGGTCTGGCTTTTTAAAATGGCAGTCTTTTAAAAATTTTCACTCATATTTTACTTATTTTTGTCTAAAAACAAATTATTTTCCAGAAGTGATTTTTAAAGGATTTAAAATATTTCACCACCAAATTGATAACCATTTTTTTTTCTGTGCTAATGGGTTTGAACCCCTTCACACTGAGCTTCTTCCCCAGGCCTTTTTAAAATTTTTAATTGGAGATAGGGTTTTGCTAAGTTGCTAAATTGCTCAGGATAGTTGTGAACTTGCAACCCTCTTACCTCAGGATTCCCAGAGTGCTGGGATTACAGGTGAGTGCCGCTATGCTTGGTATAAATTGCTCTTGGTATCTGGAAAAATGTCTTGATATTCTAAGTTAGGGAAAAAATAGATCTGTATAATAGGACCTAATAAAACTAAAGTCTCACTGTTGTTTTAATCTGCTTTGTCTGAGCTATGCTTGACATAGAACATAACTATACATATTATTATTATTATTATTATTATTATTATTATTATTATTATTATTTATTTTTTGGTACTGGGGATCGAACTCAGGACTGTGTGCTTGTGAGGCAGGTGGTGGCACCACTGAGCTGAATTCCCAGCCTTAGCCATACATATTATTAATCTTGAGAGTTTGGGTATAGTCACTCATGAAACTCAATACCATCAAGGCATGAAGATGTCCACCACTTCCCAATGTTTCCTCACACTTCCTTTATTATTATATTCATCCTTTGTATCCACCCAGAGATAGGTTCCAGGACTCTTGAGGATACCCACATCTGCGGATGATTATATAAAATGACATAGTATTTGGATACAACCTATGCATATCTTCAAATCATCTACGGATTATAGTACTTACAATAAAATGTAAATATATAAATGGCTGTTACACTGAATTGTTTAGGGCATAATGAAAAAGACAGTGTATATGTTTAGTACAGATTACCCCCCCAGTATTTTGATCTGGGGTTGTTTGACTATGAATGAGAAACCTGTGGATACTGAATGCCAACTGTAAGTGTGTGTGTGTGTGTGATGTGTGTGTATGTTGGGCTAAAAACACTTAAAATTTATTCTCTTACCAATTTTAAGTTATAATAGTTTTAGCTACAAGCAATGTGTTGTATAACTAGAATTTTTCATTTAGCATAACTGAAACTTTTTACCCTTATATGATACTTCCAACTCCTCCTTCCCTTTTAAAGGCAAAAGGCAAACTACTGGTTTATATCCAGTTAGCTAATTTCTAGAGAGATTCATTTGCCCTTGGTTTAATTTCCCTTAGACAATGAAAATACTTTTCCTGTTGAGTGATAGAAAAGGGATTTTTTTTTAGATTATTATTATTATTGTCACTATTTTTTTTTTGGTAATGGGGATTGAACTCTGGGCCTTGTGCTTGCAAGGTAGGCGGCGGAACCACTGAGTCAAATCCCCGGCCCTGTTTTAGATGATGAATTTATTTATTTATTTATGTTTGTTTTTTTGAGACAGGGTCTCACTATGTAGTTGAGACTGACCTGGAACTCACTGTGTAGCCCAGGCTGGTCTGAACTCACAGTGATCCTCCTGCCTTAGCCTCCTGAGTACTGGGATTATAGCTGCTGTTTTAGATTATTTTAAAAGATGATCTGTAATTGCTTTATAGTTTAATGTAAAGAAGTTAGCATCATTTCTTTTTCTTTTTATTTCTGGGCATGGAACTCAGGACTTTGTACTTGCCAGGCAGGCGAGGCACCACTTAGCTAAATCCCTGGCCTTCATCATTTCTAATCATTATCCTGTGTCATCCCTCTTCCCTCTGCCTGCATCCAAAATTTTCTCTTTATCTTTTTTCAACATTCCTTAGTTTGATTTTCTGTATATCTAATTCTGTTTGGGTTTACCAAAACTTCTTGAATCTGTGAGTTGATGTCTCATCTCTTTGGGAGAATTTTGGCCCTTATCTCTTCTTACATTGTTACTATTCCATTCTCCCTGTATTCTTTCAAAACTTTTGTCACATGTTCATTAGGCTATTTGGTATCGTTCCAGATATATCTAAACAGGCTGTTCCTTTTTGGTTTTTACTTTGTGTTTCAGTTTAGTTTATTTCTTTTGACCTAACTTCCAAGTTCTCTTTAAGTCTTTGCTTTGTTGAATTGAATTCTTGTCTTCT